GTACCTTGGATTAATTTTTTCTTCTGACCTATCCTGGTCTTCCTATGTCTTAGCGATTTCTAGAAGAATATTTGGTCTGATTTCTTACATTAAGAAGTTAAGGCACTCAGGCATAACTCAACCACTCCTCTTACAGTTTGTCAACTTGTGCATCTTACCTATTTTTCTTCACTTTTCACCCTTATTCTTTCCTGGATTGCTTAAAAAAGACTATGTCATACTTCGTAGAACTGTTAAGACTGTCAGCAGGGCGAGTGGTATCCCATTGGGCCATATCGTTGACATCGTCATTGATAGGCACTTGATTTCATGCAAAAAATTTGCCAAGGGAATTTTGTCAGACTGACAGCACTCACTTTATCCGCAGTTTTCACCCTGTGTCTCCTCAGGTAAAACAAAAAGTTACTTCAAAAGACTTTATGCACGTATGTCTAAGTATAAAAATTCCACTAAACCATATTTGGCACGTATTTTATGTGATTAAAATGGTGTCAGGAACGAACTAACTAACCTTCTTTGCACTAGTAAATAAGCCATTTTCTCCATCCTTATTCCATCAAGCTTTATTGTTATTGTTCTTCTTACATTTATAATCCTCTCAATTTTTTTGTTTTTATTTGTTTCTTTTCTCATAAGTGTGAACATCATTTAACCTGTGTAATAATTGTTATTTTTTGTCTTTCCCCTTATCATGCTATATCAGCAGAACATTAGGTCCAATAATCTATAACATGCTAAAATTTCCAAACTGAATAGACAGTACTGTTTGAAACAAACTCACTGTTATTATTATGATCATTATTATTATTCTCATTTTGTACTTCGAATATTTTTGACTTTATATCGTAAACCTGGAAAAATTCCTCTGGTTAATTTCTGTTTTAATTTTATTTATATTTTGAGTAAATCGGATGCAATATTGTGACAAATGCTGAGAATTCCACTCTGTATTATAAGTACTCTTTTTGGAATAAAGTAGATTATTATTATTAAAACAAATCAGAAAAAATGTTAGTCTAAAATTGCACGCTTCACCAGTTACTCAGAATTGAAAAACACATCTTGATAATAAAAACAATCTGAAACATAAATATTGAAAAGGTTTTCACTTTTTTCTTCTATTGAAATAATATTAATAAGGATGAAATAGTTCCGTTTTAGACAAATCCACTTTGTCATTGGGGTATACTGTTATAAGAATTCAAAATGTATTTAATTCAAATGAAATATATTCTTTGAATTTAAGTGCCTAACTGTATAATTTTTGTGAGCTTACACAAATGGGAGCGACCATACTGCGTACACCAGTTTAAAGAAACGCCACTGACATACTGTGGCCTCTTGCTATTGACAAGATTTATTAGTAGTATATCAGAAGATGTTTATCGGCACACAAAAATATCAAATAGCGGAGTGATAGATTTGATGTAGAAGAGAGAAAATGATTCTGAGTATTGGCAAAACATGGGAGATACGAAAAGAAGACAAAGAAACACAACACGAAAGGAAGAAGTAGTACACACGGAAGATCTGTGCAAATGATGATTTGCAGATAAGGTATACGTAATTTCCCTGTATAGAGATATCGAATTCCACTCTTCTACAGTTACAATACCAGTAATAATAAAGCATGTCTGATGAAACAGGCCATATATTTTATTTTTACTTTATTCCTTTGTGATTTGAGTGGAACATAGAGATTCAAGCTTGGCCTTTGAATTCTCAGTAGCAGCTGTATTAATACATATACTTTTACAGGGTAAGGTTGCTAGCCTCATGCCCAACCCCCCCCTCTTCACTGGGATTACTACCGGCTAAGCAAAGTTTAGGAGCGCATCGTCCGGGAATCGAATCCCGCACCACGTGAGGCGTGTGGTTGGAGAGCATTCTATCACTAAACCACCGAAGCACAGGCCATATATATAGTAGTAGGCAATCATGAGAACACAAGGGTATATTTGAAACTTCGAATCCTACTGCCTAGATATGGGTGTCAAGCATCAGATACTCCGGCAGACTAGCAAGAACTCTGAAGACATCTGAATAAATACTTCACAAAAATTTCTCTAATTCATATTTACTGTCAAATATCTAAAAAAAAGAATTACTCTTTATGTCATTACGGACTATGGTGATACAAATAGCATCATTGTCAAGTTGACCTATAAGCCCACTCCACAGCTGATAGTACTAATCATACAAAGTGATAAATAGTTAAAATCAAACTGTCTGTTTATCCACTTGTTATTCAGTTTTTATTGATACTTCTGAATATCTCGCCACTAAATAATAATGATTTAAAATTGGTTCATTTGAAAAGCGGTTAGCTCAAAACAAAACACAGAAACAACACTTATCTAAACTGAAAAATACATGAATAAATTTAGAAAAACCACGTACAAGTTTGTTTAATAATAATAACAGCTTTACTCCGAAAAGTACTTTTGGTACAAATATGGAATTTTCAGCATGTAATACAGTATTGCATCTAATTTTCTCATTATAAGAGCAATAAATTAAAATAAGGCATTTCACATTAATAATGTTGTTCAATAAGAAATGAATATCAAATCAGATCAAGTGAAAATATTAACGACAATGTAACAATGAGATCAAAAAATTCCATTTACTTAGAGTTCCTCAGTTGGTTGGTAATTTCCTGTCTTACAATTTTCTCATCACATAAAATGTGTGCTAACTAAGGTATTGTAGAGGTTTTGTACTCAGTCGTTCGAGTATACAGACTCCCATAGTTGCTTCTAGTTCTACCAGATGAGATGCAAGGAGACAGTTGTGTCTGGAGAGGATGTTCAGAGTCTGACAGGATAATATTTGATAATTTCTTGCAGAAATCCAAGTGTTTATCTACAACAGTATTATGGAGTTGGTTTAGCAACACCCCACTCTCCCTTACTTAAGCATGGATATCATTCAGTAGGAAAATGTGTAAAACTTCACATCAGGAAAGAAAAAAACTATCATTAAAATTATAAAAATCATTCAGACAATGTAAAAAGAGTACACTAACTAAAATGGTGAAAGGACTCCACAAATTCTTGGCGATCTTTTGGAACATCACATATGAAGAAGAGATGAAAGCATTTTCACAGTAGTATAGGCAAATAAATGTGCATCAGTGTTAGAATACTCTCCAGCCAATCAAATGGGTAAGGGTTCTATCCCCAGCCGACGTGCTCCCAAACGCCACTTGGCCAGTAGTAAACAGGGAAGGTTATACGTGAGGCTGGCAACCCACACCGTAAAAAACACTCCCGCTCAAGCTTGAAGTTTGATATTCCACTGGGAACATAAAGATTTTAACCAAGAAATAAACTTCACAAACTAATGGAGTATTCCTTATTTTTAAACATAATCATATTTCTTCTTCTAACATTTTCTACATGACAATCTAATATCATTGTGGATTAAAATAAATTCTGTGAATATTTCTTCTTGTACCTTTTTCAAATTCTCGTTTCTGGCACAAAAAGAACTTATTTCAGCACTTTGATCCACCTCGTATTTACAATTTTTATCAACTTATTCCTTGATTACAACATGAAGAAATGTCTTATTAGTAACTAAGGTTTAGTCTTTAATAACAGAGGTCATAATGTTAGTCCAGCTTCAGCTAGCTTTCCAGCTTTTCTTAAGCCCGGGGATAGTGACCCTACTCCAGAAAATCAATTCAATCGTTGCAGAAGGTTTAAAACACATAAAAAACCTATTCTTCTCTGGAATAGGGATGATCATGATAGCCGTTGGGAAGCCAGCCAGATGATGTCACCTTTCGATGGAGAAAAATCAGTACGGGGATATGGAGAGTTCTCACAATGTTTAAAGCTGAGAAGGCTGCTCAGATAGGAAAAGAAATGAGGCGATATGGTTTAGAAGTGCTCGGAATAATGTCAGTCTACGCGTCATAATAGATCCTACTACTTAGAGAATTTAACTTAATGCATTCTCCCAAGCATGAATGGGGAAATGACATTTGATTATTTGCATTCCCCTTGACTGGTCTGTTGTTGTGAGTCAGGCATTTAAAAACTTTAACGACAATGTTAAGATTTTTACCCTTCTTCTTAGTGTGTTATGTTGTGGTCTTTCCATATTGATTATTGGGGCAATTAGGTATGAATGGTCTTCAGTCATTTGATTCCTTTTTTATTGCTTTATATGATGAGTATCTACTTGTTTTTATTTAGAGCTCATTTTTGGATAACTAAAAGTTTTATTATCCTAGAGAATTCACAACATTACTGTCTTTTAAGAGTTCATTTTTGTTCTTCATTCTTTGACAAGACTGAATGGTTTTCAGAAATTTCGGTGCCTTAAAGATGACATCTTTTAGAAAAATGAGTGGAACAGAGAGCTTGTTCGATAAATTTTCTCCTAATAAATTCAAAAATGAAGTTTGAACTTACATATCTGTTGACTTCACTCACATTCAGGTGATATAAAAAGTCCTGCAGAGAAACCAAATGAGTATTTGAATGATATTCATTTGGATTCTTTAATTATGAGTGGTTTTATTTCGATAAATGATGGCTACTGGATGGATTCCATGAAGCTGAAGAGGGAAGTCGTCTGACCAGTAGGATCCATCATCTCAAGGTGAGATGGATGCCAATCGAAGGCATTAATGAGGGCAACGCTAAATCGCGAGTTGGCGAAGTTAGAATCCGCGGGTCGCTGGATTCTTGCTTAAGTGGCTGATTGGTCAATGAGATTGGTTTCGTAAAGTAAAGGTCCCAGGTTCAATCCTTGGTGTGACCGTGGTTGCGGATTGCTGAAGAGTCCCAGAATAGGACAAAATAACTGACTACTTCTTCCTGGTTTTCAATGACCTCTCTGATGTTGTTTCGTGACGGAAATCTAACTATTGCATTTAATCCGCGACCCCTACAAATCCTATGATATAAATTTAAGTTGTTAAATTATTATAGGTATCACACAATTTGGTTACTCATAGTTTTAACATAATTGAAATTTATCTTCAGGTATGGTTTCAAAATCGTCGAGCCAAATGGAAAAAAAGAAAAAAGTCTGGCGCTTCATTTCGTTTATCAATCAACAGTTCGTCTTTTGCAAAAAATACAGTCTTAACAACAGATAATCCCACGAAACTTGCTGTAAATGATGAAAGTGCATATCGTAAAATCAATAATCTTAATGCTAATATTAATTCATATACACAACAGCTAGAATTAACACCGCAGACAGACAGTCCAGATTGTTTAAACTGTCCAAAACTTGAATCAAACCCTGCAAATAATTTATCTCTACAAAATGCTACTACTTATTTCGGTAATAGTAGTTCAAATGGAAATCCATTGTTATTTGAACATTCACAGTTAAGCACTAGAAAATTGCAAACAAATTCATATCCATTTTTCTCACAATTAGAACATATTACAAATAATGTGAAGACAAATACTTATTTTACTGAATCAAATCCTTTAAATCATTTCGATCAAATTTTACAACAACGTTTAGGATTATCACAAACGCATAATATATCCGAAGTAAATTCTGTGAATCAGATTGGCAGCCGAAATGATGATCAACACTTTAATACAGTTCAAGGTTGGCATAGGAAAATTGGTAAGTCATACTACATTGAGAATCATAATAATAATTTGCTCTATTCCAAAACAGTACTTGTGATACAGAATGGAATTCTCAGCATTTTTACTACAGTATTGCATCCAGTTAGTACATTATCAATAAATAGAATTCTACATAGATTAAGGAAATCTCAGTTCATTATGAAAACAACATATTGGCATGTCGGTAGCAAAGCCAAAGTTGAACAGAGTGTTTGAAGGTGTTAGAAAAGTAGGTGCTATCATATTTACTGGCGTAAGCGGAAGAAAGAAACAAAGCAGCACATAACAGAAAAAAGAGAGAGAAAAGGAAAAGAAAGAAAGAAAATGTTGTACCTATAAATGATATGAGTTGGAAAGACGAGGTCCAGTTGTTCTACTGACTATTTAATGAATTATAGGTGTCACACCTAATGCTTTCTTTATCGCACAGAACACGAGCCAAGTAGGGTATGGTTGAGTTTTTGTACTTGCTAGTGCGAGCATATAGTTTTCTATATAGGCTTCTGGTTTTCCCTGATGAGATGCAAGGGGAGAGTTGTGAATGAAGAGGGTGGTGTGAGTTAGATAAAATGGATTTGGCCCATTTTTCACATGAGTCCATGTGCCTGTCAACCAGAATATTAACAAGCTGGTTAAGTGGCACGTTGCTTACCCTGCTGACAACCTTTAACATCCTGCGTAATATGTTATAGTCTTTCTTCAGTAGCCCGGGAAAAACTAAGGGGAACAATAGAGAATAATAGGCAGAATGCGAGAGTTAACGAATTGTAGAATGATGAGACGATACTGTTGTGTAAGACGGCTGCAGCATCTAAAGTGCTCCTACCCTGTCTATAGGCAAATTGTTTGGGGTCTTCAAAGCTTTTAAGGGAGGGTTCAAGTTTAAGAAGTACTAGTTTTTCCATAAGCTTTAGAAACGAGGAAGTGATGGCAATGGGTCTGAACTTTACGTTCTTGCTAATGCCAGGTTTAGGGACAGGGACTATTTTAATGTCTTTCCATGCAACAGGTACAACGTTTTTGGAGAAAGAAGCATTTAGGACGTTAGTTAGTGGAGAACATAAAGCATCTGCACATTGTTTTAGAACATATGCAGGTATACCACCAGGGCCAAAGATACGTGAGGGCTTAAGCGTTTTAAGACATTTCAGAACATCGAGAGCATTAAAGTCATGAAAGTTATCAGCTACATGATTAGTAACTTTAGAAGTAGTTATAGTAGAAGGAGAGCGTATAAAAGACTGATTAAGAGCATTAACATCCTAAGAAGGAGAAACATTACATCGCTTACTATTGCCAGTAATTTCATCAAAAAGTTTCCACATGCTGATAGGAGATTTGCATGATAAAAGTGTATCGTTATAGATAGCATTAAGATTTTTGATTTCAGATTTGATTTGAGCATTAATCATATTCTTTAAACTAGAAGCGGGGATCCACTTTTGACACTAGATAATATTTAATATCTATATTCATTTAATCAATAAAATATCTAACACAATTGTAATTCAGGGCTATTATCTTATAAGAGTTTTAGTTTCCATTGGTTTAGAAACATTGATCATCTGAATATAAGGTATGGGGTAAGTGTTTTACCGGCAGCAACCGTGAACAGATAATCTGTAGTCTAGACCAACTTATTCTGACCACTAAAAAGTAAAAATGTTATCAAAAACGAGGGTATGACTAATTGTATCTAATAAGCGATATGGCTATAGTCTCTGAGCTGGTTGGTTTATTCGCGACTTTTTCATTAACCTTCTAAGCGACGCCGCTTATTTTAGTGTGAAGTGCTTAATATTCATTTGAGGATAGATTCCGACAGATATTTCAGACAGCTTACCTATTTGAATGTTAGTCATCAGATTGAAAAACACTCATGTCAAGCATTGTATAAATGAAATTTAGATATTTTATAGCAGTGCTCATAATGAATCATTCTTTGAGCTCAAGTATTAGTTGAGATGATGAAGACAACTAACCACCACCTCCACCCCCAACACCAACAACAAGCTCCAACGGGAGAAATTTGAAAGAAGTCACTTCTTCCACCCACCAAGACAGATGGCATGGATGATGATGTCAAAGAGAAACCGGTATTAGGAACACGATTCGGATTTTCAGCACTAATATCGAGTCAGTGCTTCTATACAGTTCAGAGATTTGGCGCGTCACCAAAAGCATTTCCAACAGCTAACTGCAGGCTGTCATCAACAGCTGTTCTCACTCCATACTGAAGATCATATGGACAGTCGAAAAGCAAGGAACTCTGGCAACGAACTAATCAATAATCTACCGCCGAGCAAGTATTCTGAAGGGAATGAAGATGGATTGAACAAACGCTGAGAAGACCGCTGAGTGACATCATGTGCCAGGCAGGCTCTCGAGTGGAACTCGAATAGGAAACAACCAGCTAACGTGGAGGAGATCATATGAGATGAAACCTTATGGGCAGTCGTGGAGCCAGCTAAAGCGAACTGAAAAAAATACAGTGGAATAGAGATCTGCTGTTGAAGCCCTTTGTTTTACTCCGAACCTAAGGGAATAACACTAATTTGACCAACATCCCATTGTCCTTAATAAAATCCAAACCAGTTAATGGATGAAACAAGTTATGTATAGAGAAACTCGAATGATTCTACTCCCGTTCTTTAAACCAAAAAGGAAAGGATACGTAGAATTAAGTAATCTGTGAGAAATGGTTTCTTAATATTCACAAATATGGTTTAAGAGGTGAGATATATTATGACAGATACTTAGTGAATACGACGTGATTCTAGACCTCATCTGTAATTTAAAATAAAGAGAAAGAGAAGGGGAATAAAAAACGCTTTAACATAATAAGTGTGTGTTAGGATAGTAACAACAACTGTACTACTAATAACGTATATTAAAGTGTAACCCTGAAACTGAACCGAACTCAATTTTCAGTGCAGAATTTTGTACAAAAGTGTAGCTATCCAAGTTATTATTATTATTATTTAAACGCGGAGAAAAACTTGGTACAATATGGCACCAAGAAGATGCGCCACACAATAATAATAAAACAACATAGATTAAAAGTAAAAATATAGGTGAAGAACAGATAAAGAAATTCATCTGGAAGGAAAACAGTCATGTTTAACAAGTTCAAACAGTATTCGTCAACTATCATCAAGAAGGGAAGAAAGAAGGAAATTGCAACACGTTTGCCATTGATTACGATTCTTGGCCATATCCGATAATGTTTAGAGTCATCGATTCGAGCTATCTCTCGAACTCTAACCAGGGAGTCGTGACGCACCAACCGATGCTAATCTAGCACAAATATCCTTCATCCCACGACACCACGTAATGGAATGACCACCCGTCCGCCTTTTCCATCCCGTCCCAGGGCTAGCGAACAGAGACCTGTACGGAAGCCTCTCAAATGACATTCGTAGCACATGTCCAAGCCACCGAAACGGGTGTTTCTAGATGACAACACTCAATGAATGGTGATCTATAAAAGTATGTTCACAATTCTTGAAACCTATAATTGATTTGTTTAGGATGTATGCGGTTGATGAGAATCCACGAAATAAAACGAGCTCGTATTATCCTGCAAACATGTTCGTTCTTTCTCTCTTCGAACTTATAAAGGGAACCGGTTGGAGGTCTCCACTGTGTTCAAACACACGCCGCCGAACCTCAGAATTACTCACGCGATGGCGCCATCGAACGCAATCAATCCTGCGGAGACAGGGATGATCGAACACGCAGAGTCGCCTCACATCCTCAGCTCGGAGAGGCCAGGTTTCACAGGCGTAGAGCAAGACAGCCCGCACCGAAGCATTGTATACCCGACCTTTGACAGCCAGGCTAACGTCGCGACGGCGCCAGAGGTGGCTGAAGTTGATGTATGCCACCCTAGCCTTCATGATACGTATGATAAAAGTGTAACCCTGAAACTGAACCGAACTCAGTTTTCAGTGCAGAAGTTTGTACAAAAGTGTAGCTGTCCAAGTTGCCCCAGTTCATAAAGGTAGTAAAAGAAATACAGTAAAGCTAAAATAATAAGAAATAGTAATTATATAAAGTATAGTAAGGATTTTTGGAATCTCGATCATAAAAGGTACTGAGTACCTCTACCTCACTGTTAAAGATTTCGAGTCATTCCATTAACAGTCTCCAGTCATTGATTCTTAGTGTTTTGAGGACACCAACCAGGTTGATTCCAGTAGTCAAAGTCTTCTTGGATTAATGTCATGTTTTGGTCGGACCACACCTCTACTTCTTTCCCAACGTAATTGCTAACACACCTAGTTGAGGAAAGAAATGGCTTGGCATGCGTAATTCATGTCCTAGGTATCTCGATCTATACATCTTCAACCTTCACTAACATTTTGCATAAAAAATGAAGACTGGTCCATTCGCATACCTTGGTGTTTACTAACAATTGACAATATGAAAACCACAAAAGCTTCAGCAGACTTATACAAAGGTCTTAGGAGATAGAAGTCTAACTAAGATGTTTACTCCTGAATGAATACCAGTTAATCAGACAGAAGTCTTTAATTTATTGTTACTACATTTGGAAGACGTAGTCAATCTACCTCAGTGTGTTTATTCACTTTCAAACTTTAAAACCACAAATGTTAATTCTTTTGATCACCATACCATATAAATGAAAGGGAATTTAAGTTTCGTCTAGTTATTGATCACTAACAAAGAGATTCAAAAAACCTTAATTTTGCGTTTGTTTGTCAAGGGCTTCCTGTCAATTGAGCCTTATCGGTGAACATCTGATATCAGTCAATCCTCAACAGTGTGATATCACTTAACTGTATGCCTATATTAAATACTTGATCGAAAATGGTTTCAATCAACGAACTCAGGACTCTGAATAGCTATGCTGTTGCCCAACAGGCAACAAATTATCATAAGCATTAACCTTTCGGTCAAGAGAACTTAACGAGCAGTAGCTTTCAAAAGTTGAATGTTCAGTCTCATTGATAATCGATCGATGAAGTGAATTACATCGGGTGCAGCTACGCCTTCTAAACAAACAAAAAACTTAATTCATTCCATAATAAGACACACTAGCAGTTGTAACAAGTTCCGACGAGCTAATCTAGTTAGATAAATGACAAGTCAAGATTTTGAATTTGAACAAAGCAAGAACAACAGTTTTGGCAGAATAAAATGGTATTATCTTTTATTTCGTTGCCTTCTCATCAGCTGCCTACAGGGCAAAGACATTATTAAATGTATCTACAAAAACAATTTTAACATTCTTGCACAGAGTTCATTTTAAACAAAAATCAATCGATCAATATACACATACACTAATAATATATACATATATATATGCAATATTAAACACTATTCCGAACAATAATAATCATACACAATGAAAACTTTTCAGCATTTCGCATTCAGATGAAAAATATCCAGTTACCAGGGCAAAGAAAGACTGATAACTGCTTCTTTCTGAACGCACAAATCAGGTTTTAGGCGCTTGATGGAAATGGCTTCAGCAAACTTAAGGAGAATTGAACTCTTTTGCTTATTGATAATTTTCAACGACTTTTCGACGTCCACCTCATGACCCGTGTCAAGAAGATGCCTGGCGATTGCACTGTTTAAAGCATTTATTCCCTTTAGACGTAAGCATTTCGGTACATGTTCAGAAAATCGTAGATATGCTCTTCTTTCTATTCTTCCAATGTAACTGCTCCCGCAGATACATGTAAATTTGTATATACAAGATTTTGAATTTGAGTAATACTTTTGAGCAATATGAATTCGAATTGTATTAAGTTTGCATTTTAAGTTATTATATAAGTCTAATATAACACCAAAACATAAACAACTAAAGCATAATGAGGTTATACAGAATGACGTCCAATACATCTAGATCGCGCTTTTAAAACAGCCCTAAGAATGCAAACATAATAAACTTAGTAACATATGTGGTAGAGATTCCCAGCAGACGTTAATTAACTTTTTATACATTGGAGACTATACCCGAACCTTATCAACAAACAGGAGTGTAACAAGCATTATACTCAAGAATATTTGGTATAATTAGTAAACGACTAGAAATATCAGTATTTCATAGCCATTTCAAACTCTCTGGAAATCATGTACAGCTAGAAGTGTGCTGTAACACCACACTTCAGGAATTCTTAATCAGCAGTTACGAAAATCTACAAAAAAAATTTACAGCAGCATGCTTATGAAATCTAGAAATTCATTAAGAATCCAATATAAGTTGAAACTAATGCTCAAAAGCAACAGTTGTAAAGATATTCTAAATGATAAGTTGTCAAACAGACTGAAGTATTAATCGACAAACTGTCACGATTATTAAAAGTAGATCTCTTCTACTATGAATGGCTATAAAGGTCATCCTAACAAAGGATTGAGTAACCATTGAGACTATTCATTGATAAGCTGTTTATTGAGTTAATTGATACTTATTAGACGTGTGTGTGTGACCATTGTCCAACTATTATTTTTTAAGTAAAAACGTAGACAAATCCAGTGCTTACAGAGAGAATGGGTAAATTTCTGACTTTTAACTAGTGTTAATAAAACATAAAGGAGGACACTAGTTTTATTTCTACATGCTATAACCATAATGTAAGTACAACAGCTGCACGAGTATGAGCAAAATGGAATGTTACGCAGGGTATATATATATATATATTCCTGGACAAGAACAACAACAACAGACAATAATCAGCATAAATGGGAGGAACCTGAAAGAAACAACCTCTTTTACCTACCTGGGAAGCATAGTTTCAACTACAGGCGGAACTGACGAGGATATCAAAGCAAGAATCGGAAAAGCAAGACAAGCTTTCACTACTCTCGAGTCTGTGTGGAGGTCAACAACACTCAGCATCAAAATTAAGATCCGAATTTCCAACTCCAATGTCAAGTCAGTGCTACTCACTATACGGATCAGAGAGTTGGTGCGTCATGAAGAGCATCTCAAACAAACTACAGACCTTCATTAACAGTTGTCTTCGCTCAGTACCACTCAAGATCAGATGGCCGACCAGAAAAGATCAGCAACAGAGATCTCTGGCAATGAGCGAACCAACTCAGCAGGGACCGATTGTGAAACAAATAGGCAGGAAGAAATGCAGTTGGTGGATTGGCCATACTCTGAAGAAACCATCAAGTGACATCACTAGACAAGCCATTGCTCGAGTGGAACCCGAAAGGGAAGCGGCGAGTTGGTCGTCAATGCGAGGGTGACTTGGAGGAGGTCATGTGAAGAGGAGATGAAAACGTGTTGGCAGACTTGGAGGCAGGTGAAGACTCTAGCAGAGGACCGAAAGCAATGGAGATGCACGGCTGAAGCCCTATGTTCCTCTAAGAATTAAAGGAAACAATAATAATAATTTTATATATATAAGTTTGATAGTTGATAATGACAACTTCAGCCTCTGTGTGACACAGCTCACTGTTAGTAATTCTGTAACAGCAGAAGGCAAGACACGGAAGCCAAGGTATATTTTCAAGTGATCAAACCACTATTTATATCTATACAGTTTCATATTCTTTAACCAATCATTGAGCATGTGATTTTTGTTAACATTAAACGATATGAAATAGAATGTTCAAATATGTATACAGCATTCAGTTGCTAATGCAGTATCGAACTGTGTGGGAATATGTGAGAATAATATTCCGTTGGAACACATTGTCTGTATCACACCACCACAATTCGAGCAACGACATACCATGGAGCAAAATATGAATGAATCCCACTTTTCACCTCAAGGGATCTTATATCCTTTTGAGAGGTACGAATTCAAGTCATTCAGTGTCGAAGTCAGAAATGTTATCAATAACTATTCAGGATGTTACTGACTGAATCAGACATATGAACTAATTGGTGTTAACTAATTCAATAATTTATTGAAATCTGTCGATTAATTTAGTTTAGTGTTTATTAAACATATGTGTAAAACTTGGGTACTGTGGTAGTAAGTAATTCCATATTAGTTTGTTTATTAGATATATCACACAGTGAATCAGTATTATTTACTGGATGACGTTTCGAACAAAATTTATTGTTCATAATCATATCAATTGTAATCACACGACTTTGACACTTGAGCTTTATAGTTTTCTTTGTTCCCTCCTATTTGTCGTAGGGGTAGTAGAATTTTCCAGATATCGGGGACAGGTGTTGAATCATTCCTATTACATGTACTTGCAGTTGATTCGATAAACAAAGCTTCTGTTATCAATATCTCCCTTCACCATGTTACATTAGATTTTAAAACTGTCATCCTATCCCATTCTATTGTATAGTTGTGTGTAACTGCATGTAGTGCTATAGCTGAACTATTCTCTAGATTTCTTATCTTATTTGGATCAACCAATCTAGATTTTGCTAATTTTTTATGTTCAGCTAGTCTGACTGCCCCTGTTCTACTAGTTTGACCTATGTATTTGACCTGACAATCATTCCAGCAGGGTATTAGATAAACTAAATTGTTTTGTTTTAAAGGCTCTACAGGATCCTTTAGCCGACAAAGCTTGTTTCTAATTGAGTTTGTGGGTTTGAATGCCATTTTTATTCCTGCCTTGTTAAGAATTCTGCATAAGGCTTCCGACGTTCCTTCCTTGTATGGAATTACTACTGATGATTTAGATTCCTTATTGTTGGTGTCATCATTAATATTATTATTATTATCACCATTATTATTATCATTATTATTGCTATTATCACTATCGCTGCTATCATTATTTATTTTATTTTTACATTTCCTTACATATTTCCTGACTAATTTATCCGGGTAATTATTAAGTTTCACATAAAAGAAGCCTTGAAACTTAATAATTACGAGCTGAAGTCACATTGTGGTGAGAGCCGTCTGCAAGCCAAATTATAGACAGCAGTTTACGTCCCGAATCGGGGACATATGATTCGTAGATATATGGCTTAACTATCTAAGAGACGGTCACAAGTTGTACAGAATAACCTTCGGCACGAAAACAACCAATCAGAAGACGTTGCTTCTCTGCTGACAATAATGTACATAAAATCTATAAATATCTGTTGATTTTCTCAATAAATGATCCATTACCTTACCCTTTTCTTCTGTCGTTACAACATTACCTGGCATCAGTTCTGTCGAGTGAGTTAATTTACCCTACGAATCAGTAATAAAAAGCAAAGAATTTAGATTCAGAACTTCGTAGCAATCATTCTTAACCATACAATATATGATTGTATAACCGCTTTAATGTTCGATTTGTTCTTTTTTTCTCTTTCACTTTACAGATTCCCTACTTACAAGACAACTTAATTCTATTCATGAAAGTTATCAAGAAAAGAAAACTTCACCGTACGAATCAAATTTAATTTCACCATCTAATTTCTCAGAGCATTTAAATGAAATCACTAGCACCGGTATGCATTCAGAAGGCGTTCATCAAAAACTTCAAAATTCTCCAAACATACAAACTACAGATTTATCTACACGAGGCATAACAGCAATACAATCCAGTCTGTCAACAACATCATCTAATATGATGTCAAATTCAATGTCAACAGAACGATTGAATAATTTTTTAAATTCACAATCATATCAAACAAAAACTAACTTTTTGTGATCTTTCTTTTCATCTGTAGTTTGTTCCATCAATTTACAATTATACATCATTACTGAGTTTAATAGAAAAGGTGACTCAGTGAGAAAAATACAAAGGGGATGATTGGTAATTGGAATTATTTCCGTAACGAGACAAAGGAAGTTCTTCCTTAAAATAGTAGTATAACATCTGAAGGAAAGTAGTATTGTGCACGTTTCTATTTTGTCCATTACAATATTTCCACATAACTCTCTTTCATGACCGGGAGTTTCAACTTCTCCTTACCACACAGACGTACGCACCTTTATTTTCTCCTTGCACATACACTTACGAACATAATTATATTTTACACAATAGCACCCTCAAAGTAATATAAATTCGTTTTTATTAGAAATTCATGATTTTTTTTCTTTCTTGAAACATTTTATAATATCACTTGACAGTTTCTCTTTTTTTCTGTCGCAATAGTTAATGAGTTGTACAGATTTGACTTTATATAAAATGTACATAATACCTTCAATAAATATGTAACACTACTTAATTTCGTTGAAAATATTCTTGAATTTTCTATGAAACACATGGTTCACGGGGTGTGCGGGGGTATTGATTAAATTCGCATGAAAATATGAATCAAAACAATATCGAGAAAAGGATATTTTGAGGTTAGAGGTTTAACACAGAAATAGAATTTGGGCAATGCAATGGTTATCATAGATGTCCTAACAGAGTTGATCCTAACCGAATTTATTGACTTAGTAGTTGACTTGTTACCAGGGGGTAATCTTGTTGACTTAGAGTTTGCAGATGGTATCGTCCTTTTAGGTGAAGGTGCTGATAAAATTCAGGGTCTTCTGAACACCTTGAACAGAAACCTTCGAATGTTTGGCATGCAATTTGCTCCCGTCAAATGTAAGATGATGCTATAGGACTGGTGTTCACCTACTCCAAGCTTAAAGATAGGGAGTGAAGTGATTTTGTTGACCATTTCACTAGTTTGGGGAATTGTATCAGTCGCTATGGACTGATTGCTGACGCAATATCAACGTGTATACAAAAGGCTCATGTGCCGTTTGACAACTTACGTCATCTTTGGAGTAGACGTGATAGCTGGCTATCGATCAAAGGACGCGTGTACTGCACAGTAGTTCTCTCTATCCTTCTTTATGGCTGAGAGATATAACCACTGAAAGTGGAAGATACGAAGAAGTTAGCTGTCTTTGACCACAAATGGTTGCTCTACGTCTCCCGTGTTAAACTGTACAGTTTGGAGATTAATATTGAGCTTAGGCGTAGCGTTAAGTAAAGAGGGTAGGTCAATCGATCAGGTTGTACAACTACATCGATTAAGAGATGGCTAGGACACACGTTACGCATGTCAGGCTATCACTTTACTCGACAGACAGTGTTAGCTGACATATGATTATGTTGGAAAAGAGTTAGGCCTGGTCAAACCGAAACATGGCATCAATCCGTTAAGTCTTTGGCAGTTGGTTTGAGTAACATAGGGAGGTGTAGACTGCCTGGTTGGGGTCCTTACAATTCTAAGAGCCAATGGCTGCAGACTGTTGGTGATGTGGCTGAAAATATTTCTTATGAATCTCTTCTTCTCCATTTTACTTACCATTATGTGCTATATGGTGTGTGGCAAACTGAACTGCTGCACTTCTGTGTTGAAACTCTATCAGTCAGCAATGTGATGGAGTATGACTCCACAATAGAAGAATTTATTGGACTTCGCACTAAGTGATGCAGTACTAATGTACTTATCGATAACGTCTCGCGCTGAATTTATTGCTCATAGTCATATTAAGCTACTCGTATAACTTTCTTACCCTTTTTTGTGTTTCTATTATATACCATCCCTTGACCTAATCGGCAAAAATATTTTCCATGCCTTTATTATGGATATTTGCGCAATTTTAAATGTATGTGTATGGTGTTGATCCTATAAACAAAGATTCAATGATCAATGACTTTCAGAAAGGCCATTCTATTGTAAAATTATAGGCCAACTAGGTCGACAGGCGTCAGCGGTTAGGACGCTCGCCGACCATGCACATGGTCCGGGGCTCGGCCCCCGGCCGACGCACTCCTTTACCTAGCTAAGTCAGTAGTAAAGCTGGTAAAGAGGAAAGGTTGGGCATGAGGCTAGCAACCCCATCCCGTAAAAATAAACACCACTGCTACCGAAACTTCAAGTCTGTAGCTTGAAGCCCTATGTTCCACTGGGAACGTGAAGGAATAAAACAAAAAATCGACAGAGTTGGTTACTTAAAGTAACACAGAAATGGCGTTTTAGTTATGACCAGAGGTATTCGAAATTTACCACAGCTGAAGTTCTATTTGGAGGCGTTGTTGGAGAAGTCTGATTATTCATTTGCATTCCACAAATGAAAGACTGTAAATGGATAAATGATTCCAATGCGAAAACTGTTAGTTACCCTATTGTCTTATCACTGGAGTTCCGCATAACTTTTACAGACAGAAGCAACCTTAAGTTAATACTGGCTCATCATGAGTGAATTGTAGAAATTGTAGACAAGTTACAACTACTGATGTATTTGTACAACCACTTGCAAACAAAAGAAGTCTGCACATTGATCACAATGGACAGCTACAAGTGCGACAGACGGAATAATTAGATAAAGAAGTTTCGAATCTAGAAGATAATAATGGGAGAATGTTTGTGTACCGATATGAACAGCTTTAAGCGGTGTTAAACAATCTCTAGCACGATTAAAAGCACTTTGAGGATTCTAAGCAATCAAATTATACTTGCCAACATGGATAAGACTCACAGTCAATGGCTAAATAGATAAATTGATGTTCTGCACTGACTATCTCAAGGTTTCTCCCAAGCTCGTTCAAACTTAATTAACATTAGTCAGTGAAGAAGACGATGATGCTGGTTCTTTGATTTTATGTACATTTTAGGAGTGTGACAACTTGAACTGATGCTTTTCTGTGGAAAGTTCTATGTTGATCAGTGGCATCAGACGACTGTTCACAATGACTTTAATGCTTCTTTCTAGGCTTACTGAACTTAGAGACAAAAAGATTTTTTAAAATCAGAATTTAGGTTACAAACATTCCAGTAGGGTGCTAGATTCAATTAATGGAATTTGTTCAAAGTACGGCACTACAATCATACTTTAAGACTATAAAAAACAGATTAAGAACCTCAAAACGTAAAGTATTTGGGGTTTATTGGCATCCAAAGTGCTTTCAAGAAATTAAAAAACAAAACAAAAGGACTAAGTCAACATAAACAGCAATTCAAATCAAAATGCGGCAAAAAAACGAACTTTTAGTATATACTACTGATTAACTGTAACGAGTAGCTGCATACCACTCACATCAATCAGTAGTGCTTGCTAGCCAGATCGAGGTAGTCTAAACACCAGACGGCCATTTGCCTTTGGTGCCAAGCTGACCAGTGGTGTACCCGGTTTGACGAAGCTCAGACAGCTGAATCAGTTCAAAGCACCCAAATTCTGGCTAGCTACTTGGGCGAACTAGCAAAACTATCCTGATACAATCATTCATCTTGATGGTACTTTTTAGATAAAAGCTATTGATTTGAGGTTCATTATCAATGGTAGAATACTTACCAGCCAAACATAATGTCCAGGTGTGGCGTGTGCTACTAACATTATTTTGTAAGTAGTATATATACAGGGATAGCCAGAACAACTGACCTTTTGAGCTAATGCATGTACCGGTCAGGTATGACAGATACTGCAAAATATGTACCAGGACGTCCGCAGTGTCAGTTGATGAAAAATGATCAGTGCTGCAGTCCATTCCATTTACGGAAGTTGGCGACTTATGGTCCGTAGATGTAATGGGATCATTTCCGCAGACGGTGGCAATCAACACCTTATGGTGATGACGGATCAAGCTACCCGATGGGTAGACACTGTTGCGACCTCTGATCAGCGAGCGATAACTTTGACTGACGTAGTAATTCGACACATCATTGCAGACCACAGTGTGCCAAAGACTTTAATGACAGATCGGAGTCCCTGTTTTGCAACTGCCATATCATCCAAAAATCAATGATCTGACAGAGACAAATAACCGTACACTAAAGAAGTGGCTGGCCTCAAAGGGAAGAAATAGAGCTTCCCTTGATTCTACTAGCACATCGTATTTTCGCCCAAGAAACAACAAAGAAGTCACCATTTCCGTTAATATATGGTAGGAAACCAAGATTGCCAATGCACAATAAGATCTGATCCCTTCACCAAGATTGGAGTATAAGGAGATAGCGAACCGAACTGAAAAAAGCATTTGGGAACGTGAAGCATAAAAAGAAGAAGAAGGCTGCGAAATTCGAACAGAAAAACAAAGAGAAATGTATAACGCTTGGAGTGAAGTGTAGAAGAAGAAAGTATATGGTTAGATGCGAGGCAAGTTCACGATAACTCCTTCCAAAGTGAGTAGGACCATACTCTGTCACCGAAAGACATGATTCCGTCCATGCCGTCAAAAGGGAATACAAACAGAAACGTGTTACTGCTAGCCAACTCCAGAGATGGATACAGTGAGATTAGGAAGTCGGTACCAAGACACAACAAGATTGAGTAGCACCAAGAAGGTCGGAGTGGCTCTACTCGAAACTATTTGACGAGGGGAGTGTGGCGTGTACTACAGACAAGATTTTGTAAGTATTATATACATATACATATCGTCTGCAAGAATACTGAATATCGGAGGGATGGATTTAATAGCGACAAGAAGAAATGAACGATCCTTTTGAAGCAACATAGAAAACACGAAGGGAAAACAAAAGAAACACATGAGCAAATTGTGACTTTAATATAAGTTAGGGGTATTACATCTATACCTGTATATCGACTTACCAACATACAATTCCGTTACCAAATACTATTCAACGAGGTACATACAAATATTGAATTTACTATGGAACATGAAAATGATGGCAAGTTTCATTTTCTTGACATTGCCATGCAATGCCTGGAAGATGGTATTCTCCAGAGGTCATTTTTCGGAAGTCC